GAAGTACAATAACCCCAGGATGCTCGCAAGACTTCAAAATCCAGGTTAGACTGTAGGAATGGGGCACCTGCCGTTCTTCCAGAGGGCCCAGATTTGGCTTCCAGAACCCACTTCAAGCACCAACAGCAACTCCAGCTTGAGGGGATCCTATGCCCTCTTCTAGCCTCCAGCAGCATATGTGAGCATTTATATTCTCTCTCTTTCTTTCCTTCTCTCTCTCTCTGTCTCTGCCTCTCTCGCTAACAAAAATAAAATCTTCACTCAAAAACAAATGGTTAGGTTGCGAAGGCAACCAGCAGATGTCATTGTCCTCATGATTTCTCATAAACTAGAGACTCTGAGGACGTGAGGCTCTCAAATTAGTGGTCCTCCCTTGTGGTTACATGGGTTATTGAGTCTCCATCTTCACAACACAGATAATCAAATTGTGTACTTGATTCCAAACACACAAGCCACTCAGACGTATGACTCCTAACTGCCGTAAATGTTGTGTCTGTGGGCATACATGCAAACGGGGTAGAGTGACAGGGAGAGACTGTTGACAGGCTGCTGTCAACGTCTGTACTTTGTTTTTTGGTTCTTGACTTTGTTTTCGAGACAAGGTTTCTATGTGTAGCCTTGACTGTGCTGGACGCGCTTTGTAGACCAGGCTGCCCTCGAACTCACAAAGATCCGCTGCCTCTGCCTCCTTGAGTGCTGGGATCACAGGTGTGATCCCAGATGACACCATACTCGGCTGTTACCTGTACTTGGTAAACACACTAGAGGCCACTAGTGTGAAACACAGTGGGGCTTGAGCAGCACTAGGGAACTGGGACTGCGGTCTAGACTGTATGACCATAGGACCATGGCCATTGTTTCACCCTCAATTCATCTCCCAAGCACACAGCATCGTGTAGTGCTCGCAGGAACGCTAAGCCTGCACATCAGGGATTCCCTGGGACAGAAAAGCTCTGTGTCTGAAGCAGATAGCTTGCCTACCTGATTCTTGTAAGTGGTCAGCACATCAAGGTGACAAGACTACTGATTATGGAATGGTCAACTCCTGAAGCCACAGGGGAAACTTCATCCTGCTGTGCCAACACCTTTTCCATAATTAAATACCACAGTCAACTCATACTTTCAATATAAACTTGGCCTTAACATTCACTAATGCCCTGTGTTCCCATCCCAAGCCCTGAATTATAAACAGACATTCCTCAATAGAGACCAGCCTAGGATGACATCACCATCCCATCACCCACGAGCAATGACTCACTCCTACATATGTTTGGCCATTTGGGCAAACATATGTTGCTGTGTTGGTTTTTTTTTTTTTCAAACTCTAGTTTCTGAAGAATGATAAAATATTGCTCTCAGCTGAACTATGGAAAAATTCCAAGGATTTGTATGTAATCTCAGCTGTCATAAATGACAGTTTTGATGGCTTCTTTTTGAGAGCATTAACAGCAACTTAAACACACATATGCTGTTAGGAGGTAAAACAATCACTTTTATACAAAATAAAGACCAGAGAAAGAACCAATGGGATAGAAAAGCAAGTCAACCGGAAAACAAGTTTTTTTTTTTTTTTAAGATAACTGATAAAATAAATGTCTAACAAAACTAACACAAAGAGAAAGAGGATACCAAATTATCAATCTCAGGAATGGTTTCTTCAGAGACAACTGAATACCATAAGCCGCTCAGAGAACACTGTTACCTCAGCGCTTACACCACTTCCAAATGTCTGAGAAAGAATTAATGCCAGCCCTGCTCCAAAAAGAGAAGTACAGAACAGAGAGTACTTCCTGGTTCATACAGTGACTCCATGACCATGCTAAAGGGGAAGAAAAGAGAAGAGGAAAATGGCAAACTAGTACCTCAAACAGCAGTGCAAAAACTCCCTCCCAAAGCTTAAAATAGAAAAAAATAAATAAATAAATATATATATATATATATGGGGATATATATTGTATATATATATATATATATGTGTAGGTGTGTGCATGTGTATATCCCATATATTGTAACATATTACATATGTTACATATGTAACATATTGTAACATGTGGAAGGATAGTACATAAGATATTATAAAAATTTTAAATGTAATTTAATAAAAATTAAAAATACATACATGTAGAAAATGATGGAAGTGAGTGTACCTACTAGGTGACTATGGCAAGATAAACAGAATATAAAATCACAAATCAATTATATTTTCAATATAATCTATATATATCTTGATATAGATTATATCAACATAATCTATATATAATCTATATAAAATGTTATGCATGCTAAGACTCTGGGGGACTGTCCAAGGAATGAAAGACTCAATATTCATAAGTAAATAAGTATAATTTTTCATGGAAGGGAGGAAATCCTAAGAATCACATCAATCTCTAAAACCAGAAATCAAATATTGGACCTGGTAAAAACTCAACCAGGAATAGAAAGAAATGCCCCTAACCAGGTAACAACCATTCACAGAACAAATCTATAGTTAATGTCATACTTCATGGTGACAGAATGAATCTTCCATAGAGATTAGGAAGGAGAGACAGAAACATCTGGTTGAGCCACTTCTCTTCAGTATTGTCCTGGAGGTACTGGCTTGGGTGTTACTGAGGTCTGACACTTGGTTTTACCTACTGGGAAGCCAATGGCTTGGCCTATTATAGTTCCACAGATGCTGCCTGGAGCCACGAAGCTCCTTGTTCACAAAGCTAATGAATGGCATAACCAAGAGGCATGGATACCATGATGGACTCCACAGAGCTCAGTGACATGGAGAGAGTCAGACAGATTCCTGTACACACACAATTCAGAAACCATTGTGTCTGTGCCATTTTCTGTTTCCACTGGAAATGATAAGGAAGCCTGGACTTTTATAGAGAAGAAGTCCCTCTTTCTGCAAGGTAGCTCACTGCAAAATAACTCTGGGAAATGTCCTAGGTAAAAAAAAAAAGTCAGCATACTGAGTTCTTAATACATCAAGCAATATTGTAGGAACATATGAAGTTCAGGAGTACCTTCCCCATGGGAATGAAGACAAGAAAAAAGAAAAGGTACCCATATTCACACAAATGATGACACCATCTCTGTAGAAAACAATCTGTAAGAAATGCTGGCTCCACCAGGTGAGGATAATAAGATGGGCAGAATGTAAGACCAAATGGCAAAGTCAATTATTTGTCTCAAAAATACTGTTTTTAAATTTGGAAGAGAGAGAGAGAGGGAAAAAAAAAAACCCTGCATACCTATAAAAAGGGCTAAAATAAAAAAGAGACCTTACCTGTGGTCAGGGAGACAGAAAAGAAATAAGTCTCTGTCACACTGTTGGTAACAACGTAAAACCTGCCACCTTCTGTGGGGACAGGTTGACAGCACTCAACACTAAACACACCTATCATAGGAGCCTGTAACATGTGCCCATGGCAAATGAAAGCACATGCATAGAGGGTAAGAGGTCCTTGTGCAGACAGACAGCCCTGGAGAAGCCAGGAAAGTTAAACACACAGGCTTGATTCTTCAAAAGAGGATGTTTGCCTGCCTTCCACCCAGAATGCTGGGAAAAGATAGTTTACCTGGCGATCCTTAGCTATCTGTAGGGCCAGGCTACAACTGGATCCCCCAGAAAATTATATTTGAGTATCCCTGACTTTCTCCAGTAAGTCTTGAGCACTTCTTCTCAGTCCACAAAATGCATCCTTGAGAGAGATGTCACTTGTACTTTACAACACCTTAGGTAACATCTGTATTATCTGAGGGCCAAATCAGTGCCTGATTCCCACAGGCACTGTGTTTACCGAAGTCATTCTCCCTAGACCCTTATCTTGAGCATTGTTTCTGAGTCAACAGAACCCATCTTCAAAGAGTTTCAATGTAAACATATATTAAGCTTTGTTGTACACATGGTGCTGAGTTCATTGTCACCAGAAAACTTTTCTCCAAAAATGCACTGTGCTTCAATATGGCTAAAATAAATGACCTGGTATCAGACTCCAGAAGTTTTGCCCTGGGTCAACTTCATCCGGCTAAACTAAGTTTCACTCTTACCTCATGAAGATCATTTCCCTCTTGTCTATGACCTACTCGTATGTGTCCAAAGACTTGAACAGAAATATCAATAGCAGCTCTGCCTGATACAGTCAAAACTGAAAACAACAGACTCTCCAGCACCAGGTAAAAAGGTGGACAAACTGACAGATCACTGAAGCAACATGCCACTCAGCAGCATGAAGTAACAGTCCACTGAGGCACGCAATGACTCCACCTCAAAACAGTTAAACTGAATGAGGAAGGCAAGACTGCAAACCGAATGACTCCATCTGTATGAAATGGTATAAAGTGTGACCCACTCTGTGGTGACAGAAAGCAGGTGCCTGCGAGAGACTGCAGATGGGGATGGAATGGAAGATGATAAATATATTCAGTATCCTGGTTGTGCTAACAGTTTTGTGGGCATACATATATCGAATTTTATACTTTACTGCAGCAACTTATACCTAAAATGAAACTCTCTTTCAGCAGCTTTGAAGCATCAAAAAGAAATCAGTTACCACTTCCTTCCAAGAAAGATTCTTAAAAAGCCAGGCAGATGGCTCACCCCTTTGTTCCTCATATTTAGGAGGCTGAGGCAGGAGGATTGCTGAGAACTTGCGGCCAGCCTTGTCTGGGGTGAGGGGTACTTTACATACCACTTTATAAAACTCATGGTGCTTTGATATTGATACCTGTCATATAACATGCCAAACGGGCCAGGCATGTGCACAGCAGTAGCTGGCACGGGAGCTGATCAGCGCTCTCTGTTACTGTTTTTCTTATCATGAGCTCCTGACCACTACCCACACAGCTTCTGCAGCCTCTCCTTCCTAAAATTCTACTCTTCTCTTGCTTTGCTGTTTTGTCTAAAAAACAAAACAAAACAAAGCAAACAAAAAAAAAAAAAAAAACAAAAACAAAAAAACGTGGATGTAACCTCGAAGTGACAGGCTCCCAGAGCTCACACTCACCTGAGCTGGCTTGTGGCAGATGACTCCGTGAATCTCTAGATAGCTGAAGGTTAACTCGAGCTGTAATGAGGGGGAAAGGGGAAGCAGAGAACTGTAATGAGGGCTTCAAGACATATCATTTGAGGTTCAAAACATGTTATAATCAGAATACCCCAAGGCTAAGTAAGGTTTGTGCATCTTCTGAGGACAGGCTGCCTTGGTAATCTCTGTCCATCATGACAGAGCTCAGATTCATCAGACTTCAAAAGAGGCCTCACCCGCCTGGCAAACAGAAGAGAGGAAGCGGCGCACCTGAATCCGTTGAGGCTCAAGCCAAATGAAAAGCCTGAACTCTGCTCCACTGTGTATACATTGGCAAACGCCTACGGGACACCCAGCCACCAAATACAAATCACCCCCTTTTCTCCACTATGGCGCTTCAGAAAGCCTCAGCCCCCATGGCTTGGCCCTTTCTTCTAACCTTTTGCCTTCCCCTTTGGGCCACACTCTGAACACTCACTGAAGTCACCTTCTCCCCAAACATCCATAAAATTCCTGGCTGAGATGGATTTGGATGAATACAATATTTATGAATTCTAACTATGTTCTATGGCATAGATGTAGTTAAATAAAGCTACTCTTTCTTATGTTCTCATAAATTATTTCTTTTATATTTTATTTATTTATTTTTATTTTTATGATGCTAATCACAAAACCCAGAATGTGCAAGCCAAACACCCTACCACTCAGCTGCGTCCTTTGACTTAAGAAGCCTCCCTATATTTCCTCTCCTGTAATCATCCCCTATTTCCATTCTAAACATTCTCCATACTGCAGTACGTTTCTGGATCTATCTGTGATCACTAACCTTTGCCCTAGTTTTGCAGTCTTTCATCTCACTTACACCAGATGGTCACAGGACATAAGACTGAAAGACAGTGGGAGAGGACTCGATCGTGTGTGTACCCCATCGCGCATTAAATCTAGAAACACGGGTGCATCCTTTGGTACCCCTGCGGGAAAATTCTAGGAATGCCCAAAGACACCGCAATCTGCAGAAGTTCAAGTCCCTACCACCAGGGTACACTGTGCATGTCACATAAGTCATTTTTACAGCTCCCGGAATGCCTAATAGGATGGGGGTGCAGAGTAAATGCCAATGTCAAACTGCCTGGGGAGGAATGAAGAGAAAATGTCTGCTGGGCTATTTCACATATTTTGGATCCATATAAGAGAATCTGCAGATGTGAAACCAGTGGATGTACAGGGCCAACTGTCATGCTTAAGGAACAAGCACACAATCAACCCACAGGGTCTGAACTCTGCCCCCTGCTGGCATGTTGTGCCAAGGTGTGCCAGTAGCACAAAATATTTAAAACAGATCTCAAGAATTGAACACCCAGAGGCACAGTGATTTCTGGAGCTAGCCTCATAGAACTTGGTGTGGTGGCTGATGTCTGTACTCCCAGAACTCAGGAGACCGAGGCAGGAGGATTACCAGGAGCTCACGGCCAGCTGGGTTACATAGCAAGACTTCATTAGACGGGGTGGTACGAAGAATGAATAAATGAACTCATCCTTTCATATTTGCTTAGTCAACACTTCTGAACAGCCTACTATGTGCCATCTGGAAACTCAAAGGGGAATGATGTGTTTTCTTCTATGAGCTACATGCACCCTTGGAAACCTATATTTTGAAACATTCAGTTACAGTAACTTTTCCACCTAATATTACCAAGGTCTACAACTGGATTAAAGTCTTTAAAGCCAACAACCGTGTCCTAAGAAGGTATACTTACCCACCTGTATTGCTTAAAAACTTTATGCATGTACTTTTGACGTTGAGCTCTCTTTTGCAGTGCTAAAGCTTTTATTTCGGTCAAGCCTAACAGATACGCTCCTGGCATAGCAGGACTTCCGGTTCCTTTTGAAATGGAGACCCTGGGGGCCAAGGGTATGGCTCAGTTGGCAGAGTGCTTATCTAGTATGTGCAAAGCACTGAGTTTGAGTCCCAGCACCACGTCAACCAGGAGTGGTGTCATCACAGCGTTCAGGAGGTGGAGGCAGAAGGATGAGGAGTTGAAAGCGTTTGAAGGCATCTGCTTTGTGGGTGAGGACAGGCACGTCTCTGTGTGGAGTAACAGCTGTGTGGTCCTCAAGGTGTCGCTCTTCTTAATCATTCACTTCCACTGGCCTCTAAAATCTCACCGGCACTCCCTTCTGGCATACGCAGTAGCTGTTGCTATGGAAAAGAGCTCTCACTTGAAGCACCTGAGCTAACTGCCACATAAAGATTACACCATGGAACCCCCGCTATGATCGACTCCAACAGACTCTGGGTGGGGACACAGCCATGAACACTGCGCTTGATGTCAGTCACCAGGCGGGAACCTGTCACCTTTGTGAATTTGTCATGGGAGATGGGACCACAGCTAAGATGCTTACACTGTGCTTTCACTGGGCTGGCAGGTCCAGGGAAGCCCGGCGAGACTGCAGGTGGTCCTCCAAGATGAACTTCAAGGTCAATAAACCAACAGAAGGTGGGAAGGGCCCAACATTCAATAAATGATGATGGGCCACGCCTGGCCTCAGTCGGGGCCAAGGTTGTTATCAGACATGCTTAAGGCAGGGCTGAGGTCTATAACTTGGTAGAATGCTTGCCTAACATATATGAGGCACTGGGTTCAACCCCCAGCATCACATAGACCCCCTTTCCCCTGCCATGCCCCTTCCATTTCTCTTTAAGCTGGCTAGTACTCAGTATATAGCCCAGGAGGGCCTTGAATTCGCAGCAGCCCTCCTGTCTCCAACACCGGAACTATAAGTGTGTGTCATTCTCCCTAGCGAATTCTTCATGAGTGCCCTGAGACATGGGACTCAACTTTGTGCATATATCTATATATTTGAGATGCTTATCCAAATATTACACACGAGTCTTCTCTTTTTCTTTTCCACACAGTACCTTTCATAATGCCCAGGCTGGCCTCGAACCTACTAGGTAGCCCAGGTTAGCCTGGAATTCATGATGTAGCTGAGGGTGACTTTTAACCTCTGAACCTGCCTCCACCAGCCTAGTGCTAGAATCACACACAAGAACCATCACACTCAGCTTTAGAGCCTTCCCTTCATACGGGCAAGCTACTTGTTTTTCAAACCTGAAACAGCTCCCTCTGCAACAAGGCCGCATTAGCTTTGTTACATATTGCCTTCCTGGATGTGCCCTGCCCTCACTACTCCCGCCCCTTTTCTGTTTTAAGGCTTCCTGGAGTGTAATACCAAACCAGTTCTGCCTTCGGTATTTTAGAGAGAGTTAACACAGAAAACATGCGTCACTTTATATGTCAAAAGGGCTGGAACCTAAAGTGTCTTTCCTTAGAGAAGCTGGTAAGAGTTCAATAGTGGAGTGTAGTATGTGGCTAACCCCTGGGAAGCGGAGAAAGAGGACTGCTGTGAGTTCGAGGTCAGCCTCGGGTACAGAGGGAGTCTGGAGCCAAAGGAAGAACATGAGGAAAGGAAATGGGGGGTGGGGAGGAAAAGAGATGAGGGAGGTGGAAGAGAAGAGATGAGGGAAGGGGGACTGAAGGGAGGAAAAGGAAGAATTGAAGGGAAGGTTAAAAAAAGGGGGGGAGGTGAGGGTTGAAAAGGAAAGACAGGGAAGGGAAGAATGGGAGGAGGGAAGGGAGAGGAAGTTAAAGGGCAGAAAGAAAAGAAGAGGGGGAGGGTAAAAAAGGGAAGAAAGGCAAGGAGACAGAAGGGGAGGGGAAAGAGGAGGAAAGAGGTGAAGAAGGAAAGAAGAGGAGAGGGAAGGGAGGGGTGGAGTGAGAGGAGAGGAGATAGAAGGAGAGTCTGAAGTGCTCCTTTTCACAGGCAGACTGAAGGGCTACACAGCTCAAGCCTGCCAGGCACCCTTTAGAATCACGAAGATTATTTCCCACATGTCAAAGGCCGACTGAAAAAAGCTGCTACTACTGAACTGATGTGAACATCAAAGGGACTTGACACAGCACAACTGAGGGAGAAAAAGTGACTGCAACCAAGAGCCTGGGGACATGGGACACAAAATATTTCACCATTTTTCTTGGGATGCCTTTACCCACGGAGTTGAAAGAAAATGAAAAGCATCCTTCATGACAACCTCTAGGGCATTCTGGAGAGGAGTGAAACAAAAACATGTGTGCCAAGATTACTCTAGACCCAGTGGCAGCCTAAATGCTATGTGTGTGTAATGGATCTGTGAAAGCATGTTTATCAGAGCAGGCTTGTCCAACCTGCAGGAAGCATTCATTCCAGACCAGCTGTGAAGGCAACTCAACATATGTGGAGGTTAACAGCTTCATATTGAAGTGTCAAAAGACTGGATGCGCCTTCATTTGACTATCTGTGGATCTGTGTAAGAGCGTGCACACGGATGTTCACTGAACGTGTCTGCCAATCCATCTCGGAAGGAGAACCCATCACTGCTTACCTTGGTGGGGATGCGCGCTGACAGAAGGAAGGCTCGGCATGACGTGAGCACCTGCAACACAAAAGCGGATGCTGGCATCAGGGCTTACAAACGGAACCGAAGGGCTTCGGTCTCACCTGCCTGACTTCAATGACACCGATATCCTAAGAGCTTCCCCGTTATCACTGCGGCAGGCGGCATGATTCAGTGTTGTGGTGTGGTTTGGCTCTTGCCACAGAAGAATAGGCGACCCGGGTCTGACAGTATTAGTTCCAGTGTAGGGGTGCCTGCCTCGAGGCCTATAGTGAACAAGTTACCCATGAACTCTCTGACAAGCAATCAGTCCAAAGACTGGATCACTGTGCTCAGTGGGCGGGACACTGGAATGTGGTGACGTTGCAGAGTCCTAAGTCAGCTACACCAACAGCAAACTTAGTGAGCGACCAGGTGCCTAGGTGCCTTCTCATTTGCACTTCCCCTATCCTGCTTTCTACCATCAAGGCTCAGGCTGATAACATACAACACACAGGCAGAAAAATCAGGCTAGTTTCCAAGAGACCATCTCCAACTTTGTTTGGACAGGATATTATGGAACTTTCTTTCTGATAACCAGCTAATAACATCTGGACATCATGGAGTCCTATGGCCTATAAGCCTCTCTTGCCTTGCATACAATGAATACAATGAAGCCTGTGCCTGGCTTTGAGCAGGGTGCCTGTCCATTATCTAAATGGGCTCTCTGCAGAGATCCCCACAGGCCTCATGAGCTTCTGAAGGAGAGAAAGGAGAGGCTGAAGCCCTGCAAGTAATAACAGGAGAATTGCCTTCCTTCATTTCCTGAAGAACGTCCTGGTTCAACAAATGAGACTTAGGTCCTAATCTAGGAATCCTAGGTTTGAATAGAATCAAAGAAGCTACAGATCAGGACTTGGGGGGGGGGGGCTATATAGTGCAGTGGTCAGCTTAGCTAGCATGCACTAGGGCCCAGGTCAGTCTCCAGTAATAAGGGAGGGGGAAAGGGGGCTATGCACAGGATCTATTCTTATCTAAAATCTTCAGTGCTTGGCCTGCTCTACACGACTCTAATACATTATGATGGTGAAGGCAACAGAAGGTATTTACACTTGAAGATTTTATAAGCCAAGTTAAACCACAGCTCTTGGAGGCCAGGCAAAGAAGCAAAACAACAAACATGAAAAATGTCAAGATAAGTGCAGGCAGGGAGGCTGGCTGGTCATTGAGGATGAATGTAGGATGCAGAGGGCCTGAGAGAAATAATCTAAGAGGAGAAGATATTTCTTTTGGCTGGCAGCTCCAGATATCAGTCCGCAACCACTTGAGTTCATTGTGTCTGAGCCTACGGGTGAGACAGAACAGCAGGAAGGACATGGGGGAGTAAGAGCTGCAACCACCTCCTGGTAGGAAGAACGCATCTCATGCATTCTCCATTTCTCAATGGAGAGCGCTGGGGTACCAGTACCTCTCTCCTTGGATGAGTCAATTCTTCTTGTGTGCACTGACCAGTCCGATATGTGCCTGTGTTTAAGCTATGGGAGAAACACTCTCTTTATTCCCACACAAGAAGCTGGGGTAGACAGCGATCATCCACCTTGCACAGCAGGGACGGGCTTTCTATGTGATCCTGGTCTTGGCCCCTCATCTCCCTTTCTGCTTCCTGGCTAATGTGTGGTGAGCAGCTCTGCCCCAGTATCTTGCCACAGCAATCACGGCAGCACATGGCAGTGCTGGCGTTCTGTCCCAGAGGCTCCGGCTACACTTCTGGGGTGCTTCCTGCTACAGAGCCAGATTCCAATCTTTCCTTTAGGAGCCACATTCCTTGGGAAATGTGGAACACGTGGAAAAACATGGAACATTACAGCCTATGAAGCAAATGGATACCCAGGTCATCAGCAGCCAGAGGGATGAGTGGTAGCCGAAGAAAAAGCTTTAGCTCCTAGTGGTGAGTCAAACTGCCTTCCTGCTGCCATCTCTCCAGCTGTGGCTTGGTCTCTGTCACTGTCTGCACATGCCTCTGCCTGCCTGTGTCAAGATGGAGACCTCTCAGTCTTCATCTCTCATCACTGTCTCCCCGTTCTCCCCCTCAGACCCCTCTCTCTGCCAATGGTGCCACTATTCCCACCAGGTTTCTCTGTTGCTACAACCTCCTATTTCCTCTACTTCCTACTCTTGTTTCAGCCCTTTCTCTAAAGAATCATTGTAGATCCCGGGTTTTCTTTATGCCTTCTGAAAAAAGCAACAGACACCAATCACGGAAGAAAAACTGCATTTCAGGAGAGTATTTTCATCTGCAACACAGTCACAGGTGAAGGTGAACAAACTATGAATGAAAATGAGAAGATGCCTTTGGACATCATTACACGATGAGAACACGGGAAATTATGCACTTCACGAGGTCCCCTGTGTGCACCTAATTAATAAGTCTTAAAAAGTAATCTCAAAACACACACTTAAGCAACCGAAACAGAGCAGCATATGGCATCGCTAGCCTTCCTACCCTGTGGCTACTCTTGGGGATAAACACCACCCTCCAGCAGCCATCAGGGTCAGCCGACCGGTGGGTCTTCTCCTGGCATTCCCCTTCCACCCATGCCATTACAAGGTATTTCTGGAGGCCACGGGCTGGGTATTAAGCACTATTAGTACATTTAAACACAAAAGAGATGGCAAAGAAAGGCAAAGCCACGTATTCCCCTTTGAGTAAAGACCATTTCTTGGCCACGGGAAGGTGTACCCATTTCTAACGATCATTCTGCATTCACCCCAGCATGATCAGGCTCACCGTCTGTGGCCTGGTGAGCTGGCTTCCTGTCTGTACAAGTGTTTGTGGTCATGCTGTGTAAGTACACAGCATCCCTTTGAAGTTGGACACAGTTCGAAATTCATTGTTTGAGAAGAGACTCATCCATGTGAGAGCCCAGGCTTTGAAGGAAGACAGACAAGCCATAGAAGTTTTGTGTTGGCTGGTCCCACCCTCTGAGAGTCATAAGGCGGTTCTAAGAAAAGTTGTCACAGAGTAAAAGCAGAGTAGTTCTTTCAGCATTGGCCTACTCTTCCCCAGGACTGGCAGCCTGAGAGCATAGTGGGTCTTCAATTCTGGATACAAGACTACATACTGCAGGTACTACTATTCTGAATCATGCCTCTTCCTTCATAAGGGGGAGGGGAGACTCAGTCAATAAATGAGGCTCCAACTGCCTGGGAATCCCCATCTATGCAGTCTCCAGAGTGCTCCAGGATGTAGCCCGAGAAGATTTGCAGGCAGAGGTATGGATTCCACCCATATGGAAACAGCCAGTGTCATGCTCGTGGGGAGATGTAACCTGTCACCTTGTGTGACCATATCCCCTAAGGGAGGAGGGCTAGTTGGTCTTACAGTTCAAGAAAATACCGTCCCTTGAGGAAGGGAAGGCATGGTAGAAGGAGTAAGAGGTGGCTAGCTGGTGGCACCATGTCCATTGATACAAAGCAGAGAGCAGCCAGAAAGCAGAGCAGGCCTCCTACTGCAACGCAAGCAGCGAGGTTGCACCTCCTAGAGGTTTTACAACCTTCTCTAACAGCACCATCAGCGGGGGACCAAGTGGCGGATTCTTCATTTTCAAACCCAAACCTACTCACTGAACATGGCCTCCATCATGGTTAAACCTCCTCATTTCTGAGGACATTTCCAATACTGGTAGTGAGACTCCTCTTGGGAACCCAGGTCAACGTTTGTGTGTGGATTTTGGCCTTGGGAAAACTTTGATCGGAAGTCTGGTTCTCTCACTTTCTTGCACAGAGCTGACACTCCCAGTAGGTGAGGGGTGATAACTGACAAGCAACGAGGGAGGAAATGGGGCTCCTGAAACCCAAGCAAGAACAGCCACCCACGGGACCACGATGAGGAAACAATAGGAAGGTGGACAGGTGAGCAGAGTGTCTCTCCAGCACCTAGCACACACTTGCTCAACACAACCTTTCTTATAACTCTTTCTTTAGGTCCCAAGGATTAAGAAGGTCCACTTCGTCAGTTTTGTTAAAAAAAAAAAAAATACTAAGGCAAACCCTAAGTTGAAATTTTCTGCTAATGGACCGGTTTTGACTTTGGACAAGAAGAATTCCCTTGCTAAGTAAAAAAGAGAGAGAGAGAGGGAGAAATGTGGCATAATGGCTCACACCTGTACTCACACTTGGGGCAATGAGGCAGAAGGATCACAGTGAGTTCCAGACATGAGCTACTAAGACCTTGACTATAAGAAACAAGGACACTGGAGTATAGAGAGCAGATACGCTTAGCCAAGGGACCCTCATCACCAAGAGCAAAGCCATCACCTTCGACCCGCATCCCCATAAGACTCATTCTCCCACAGAGGTTCAATGTGCACCCACAGTGCCAACTTTAGTGACTTTTATCTGATCTTCACTGAAAGGTAAGCATCTTTCCTTCCACAAGAATCCAAATTCAAAGCATCATCTGCAGTATTTTCTAAAACCTCGCTACACTGGCAGAGCACACAGCTTAGCAGACATGCTTGCATTTTCTTACAGAGGTGATACATTCTGAGGTGGACTCTGGAACTCTCTCTCTCTCTCCCTCTCTCTGAACACTAGTAAAAATGTTAACCATTTAACTTCATTGCCTAAATCCATGCCAGTACAGGTGGCATGCTGAACATTGAACACAGTCTTCTATCCTGAGGCACCTACTAAATTCCAAGCAGACTAAATGATGAAAGTAGTTTCCCTTTTCTCCTTTTCTCCTTTGGCATCCTGTACAACAAGCCCTGTGTAACCCACCACACACACACAGGTGAGTGAGGGGCAAAGCAAGTGATGAGACTCATGGCCGCCGCTACAGAAAATTCTAAGTGGCAGATACTGAGAGACTCGTGCACAGCTGAGAGGCTAGGCCCTCACTCACTTCTGGTTTAAAGCCTCTCAGCACCACACACAGCTGCGGTAACCACCAGACTTTCTAACCGAAGCACTAGGACACTTTACCCAAAATAAAAACCTCAGAAATGCTTCAAGGTAGGGCCACCCCGGGTCCCAAATCCCTTTTAAAACTGAAGCAA